AGGGGCGGAATTATGGGGACTGTTCCAAGGGCTCTCATTGGCATGGGATCTGGGACATCGACGAGTGGTGGCTGAAATTGATAGCCTTTGTGCAAAGACCATGGTATGCGAGAAGAGTGGCGAGATAGGACCTCATGAAGCACTTGTTCGGGCCATTCGGGAGCTGCTCTCTAGGGAGTGGAGCGTTAAAATCCAACACATCTATCGCGAAGCAAACTTTGTTGCGGACGCTATGGCAAGTTTGGCGGCGTCCTCCCCGCCTGGATTACATCGTGTGCAAACCCCGCCTGTGGGATTAGGTGCCTGGTTGGACCATGATAATATTGGGGTGTCGTACCCTCGTAGAGTACTAGCTTAAGCCTTGTGACAACCTTTTTTGTACCAAAAAAAATATATATATATATATCAACAATGTATGTATACCACATAAACAATAGATATATTAATATGTGTTCACCGTGGATAGTGGAGCATTACTCAAAAATGTTATATATTTGTTTATATGAGTATTAATCGGAATTCCAGCATTAAATTTTAGTAAAATTACCTTACAAAAATATTTTGACGGTGATGGGTTATAAATTATCTGACTGTATAATTTATTTAAATTAACATTTTCTCAATAGTATCAATATAGTTACATAATATCAATCAATCATCCCTACACGTTACATAATTTTAGTTATCTATCACTTTCAATCACTTCTCTCATTCTTTTTCATCATATCAATTTTAATATTTATATTTTAAATATTATTTTAATACAACTAGGTGACATTTAGATAAATTCCTAAACTTTTAAATATGGAAGCGGTAACAGTTGTTTAATTTCATGAAAATATATTGGTGTTTTAATGTGCATTTCTACACCTAGTAATATGCATTTCATGCAACAATATTGTGCATTCATTAAACATTTGATAAATTGTAAATTTACCCAACATCTAAATGCAATATATTAAAACTTCTAAAATTGCAAATAAGTCCCAAGATTTATCTAATTTTTCTAAAAAAAAATTCAAATCTCTTCCCGTCTCTATCGTCCCTCCCCTCAACAATACGGCGTTGTTCTCTAGGAGGTAGCGACCACCGCCACACTGGAGAAGATAAAGGCGGCGCCACCAAATGTGACGGCACCCCTGCTAAAGCTCTATTTTGCCGCCGATATTGAGTACAAATGATTCCTCGATGGGCTTACATGGCCCACCACCGACCAATCCCTCGAGCAGGCTTTCTTGTAGTACGGAGATATAGAATCATCCTTTGTTTTTTGTTTGATATATTATTTTGTTCATTTGTGCGTGATTGTTTGGATATGGTATTGGATCAAATGATTTTTTTTTTTGTGGATTTTGGGAAAAAAATGCCTCGTCAATTATCGGGAAATGGGAAGGTCGAGGGGATTTGATTTGTCACGTTCAACAATGAGCAGACGATGAGGGACTCAATCAACACCATGAACGGCCAGGAACTTGGTGATCGAAATATCACCTTGAACGAGGCACAACCCCATGCTGAAGGTAGTGGTGGGCCGCACAGTGATGGTTGCGGTGGTGGGATCAAAAATTTTGTTATGTGTATGAGAGAGAGAGAGAGAGAGAGAGAGAGAGAGAGAGAGAGAGAGAGAGAGAGAGAGAGAGAACCGAAAACGGGGAGGGGTAGGAGTGGAGCCCACATTTATGTGGGAGAGAAAAAGTACCAAAATACCCTTAATTAATGTAAAAATATTAGTTGAAAATGTGGGAGAGAAAAAGTACCAAAATACCCTAAATTAATGTAAAAATATTAGTTTTTATATTATCCAATCTGATTGTGTATTCTTATTTTTTTTAATGAGAATTATTTTTAAATTTCACCGGAGCTATATAACCAACTTAGTATCAAATAAATAAAATTAAAACAAGAACATGTGAACACAGTCATAAATCTAAAAAACTTGACATTCTAAAAGTACTCTCTAAAAAAAAAATAAAAAAAATCTCCAAAAAATGTGAAAATAACTCAAAAACCTTAGAAAATGCGTGTTTAGCACAAAACATTTCAAGCTCAAAAGACCCTCTAATGGAACTCTGGAAGTGACAATTGAACTTCACTTGATATTACCTTCCAAAAGGAAAAAGATATAGTGGAAAACGACAAGCAAATAAAGGATAAACGCGGGGATAACGGAAGGATTTTCAGATCATATCACGAAAGCTATAATCAAATTATAAACTTGTGAAAGTAATTCTGTTACGAAAACAGCATATAAAATATTCATCATAGTAATTAGTGGATTTTTCACATCATATCGAAGGGTCGACACTACCCTGTATATTGGCCAGGGCTCTCGAAAGTTTTAACCGTTCGATCATATTGATCGGATGGTTAAATTAAACGCATGTTTTTGTTGTGGTTAGTGATTTTTTAACCGCACAAGTTCGTGTAATCTTTCTTTCCCACAGTTATACACGACTCCGGCTCGTCAAACCCCTTCATGCATGACCTTAATTAGGTGATCAACCAATCAACTATCAACTTTAGTTATCTCTCCGATAAGATGTCATGGAATATTGAAAGGTGGTAAGAAAAATAGAGAGACCATCAAAGATGCCTAACTGAGAAATGACATCCTTGGGACAAAAGCTAAAACCAAAAATTAAATCCCAAAATTCCATATAAAAACTATAGTTCACATTTATGGGAAATGTTACGCCCGTTATGGTACCATCCATTCGGGTGTTTTAACCGTTGGATCCACATGTAATTAGATACGATAAATTATTTAATGGTTAAAATACTCGACGGGAAGGTACCATAACAGAACGGTAGCATTTTCTCACATTTTAACATAACCAAACCCAATTAAGTTTTGCCACATCACCTTCGTAAAGCTAAAACCCAAACGTTGTATTGAATTATTGTTATCTTGAAATTGGCAACAAGGATAAGCATTATTTTATCACACACTTATCTGTCAACTTCTTTTATGCCTGTACTTTTATAGAGAGCGGCTACAGTACTGCCGTAACGGCACGATCTCGTTTTTATAATTTTGGCCTTAGAGCACCTCTAACCGAACCCCAAAACCAAACGCAATACCAAAAATTGTTCCAATCGATACCTAAACACAAACGCAAAATGGGTTTTGTTCACTTTCTATCTCCTCTCAAACGCATATATGCGTTTTCACTATACGTATACACAAATCTCTTTCTTATTTATCTTTTGGCCCTTTTATTTTGAAATATCAAGTTTTAGTTTATTTGTCAATATTTATATTTTGCATATAACTTATTACTTTTTTATATAAAATTTTAATATAAGTATTTAAAAACTCATGAACAAAATATTTTTATATAAAAGTTTAATATAAGTGTGTGTATATATATATTGTGTAGGTATAAATTTGTTTTTTTAATATATATAAATGTATAATGAAAAACTAGTTTACTAAATATATTTGTTTATCTCTAATTTATATTTATACATGTTTTTATTTTACACGTCACTACAAAAAAATTAAAAGAATATAAAATATATACAAATTAATTTATATATTTATATAGAATGTGTGCATTAAATAAAATATTAATAAAAAAAATTATGAAAGTATTTGTAAAATATTTCTAAGATATTTCTTTGAATCAACAAACTATGAAAGTACTTGTAAAATATTTATAGAATATTCCTAAAAAAGTTTGAATTAATTGTAGAGAAGTTTAAGAAAATATTTATAATAAATTTAAATATTATAAACTTTTTATAACATTATTCAAATTTAAAATAAATAATATTGTCTGTTTTTTACTTTTCTCGAAAATAGGTATTAAATATTTTTAATTAATACTTATTATTTATTTAAATTAATTTATTATTTTTTCAATTGAATATAAAACTAGAGGTCTAATTTGTAAAATTGTAAATATGTAGGTAGTATTGAAAGTTGTAAAGTTTATGTGAATGGGAATATTTTTTTGGGTTTGAGAATGAGTTTTTCGGTTGGAGATGAATTACTGTTTAATGTGACAATTACTGTAAAATGGGTTTGAGTTTGAGTTTTTCGGTTAGAGAAGGTCTTAGGATGTTAAATGAATAATGATCATTGTGGGATGTAGCAGGCCTAACTTTATAGCTTGAAGCAAGTGGCACAAAATCATTAGATGAAAGCTGGGAGTTAAAATTGAGTACGGAAACTTAGGCTATGTTTGGTAAAACAAGCTGATAAGCTAGCTGATAGCTGATAAGCTAGCTTATAGCTTATATGTAATTTTTGAGCTTATAGCTTATAGCTTATGACTTATAGCTGAAAAGCTAGCTTATATGCTAAAAGTGTTTGATAAAATGAGCTGATAAGCTAGTTGAAATAAAAAATTGAACTAGCTTATTTGAAAAGCTACCTAAACAAGCTTATCAAATAAGCTCGAGCTTTTTAAATAAGCTCGTCCTACCAAACGAGGCTATTTAAATACAAGAAGCTTATAAGCTAACCAAATAAGCTATAAGCTAGCTTATTTGGTTTACCAAACATACTCTTAGAAATCTCCACTTTTATAAACAAATTGCCCAAGCATAGTCTATTTATAATTAATTGCGTTTGTTCACATTAATACCTAATGAAATACTTTCAAATGTATTTTTCAATCCAAAAGCCCAACTCTATTCTAAAATAATAAATGTGTAGTAAAAAAAGTTGTCAATAAAGTAACTTTTACATAAGAATAAATTTACATTGACACAATTCTAAAATAATAATTGTGATTTAAAAAAAAAAATTGTCAAGAAATTAACTTTTAGATAAGAATAAATCTACATTGACATAATGTTTTAGTGTAAAATGACAAAAACTTATGTGTATATTTGATAGCTGTTGATTTTTAAAGTGATAGTGATGTGTAAAGTAATAAGATTGTGACACGTGTCATTATGTCGTCCTTTTAGGTAATGGACCAGTGTCGTACAATACTAGGTTATATTTGGTAGACCAATAAGTTAACTTATAACTTATTTGATTAACTTATAAACTCCATGTATTTAAATAAATTCTGTTTGGTAGGATGGGTTTATTTAAAAAGCTCAGCTTATTTGATAAGTTTCTTTAGGTAGCTTTTCAAATAAGCTAGTTGAATTTTTTATTCCAGCTAACTTATCAGCTAATTTTGCCAAATATTGTTATCATATAAGCTAATATTTCAGTTATAAGTCATAAACTATAAGCTATAAGTTCAAAAATTATAGACAAACTATCAAACTAGCTTATCAGCTAGTTTTACCAATACATGACTGCACAATATTTTTGTGGCTGCATGATAATGTTTATTAATTTAAAATTCTTAACTCATTTGTCTGGACTAAAAATTAATTACTATAATGGCTATATTATTTATTAATCTATAATAATTAATCTAGGTTTCTTCGAGTGTCTCTTTAGCTCGGAGATATGGAGTGCAATTCGAGTTTGGGTTAGCCTCCGTCACATGCCAACCCCTCTAAAAGGTGCCCTCAAATGGACCAAAAAAGAAGGGAAATGTACGACTTGGAGAGCTAAATTGAAGAAAGCCGCGCTTGCGGCCACCGTCTACTTCATTTGGAATGCGCGAAACCGATTGATTTTTTAGGGCGAAACCCAACCTCCAAGCCTTGTGATTAGAAAGGTAAAGACCCACGTCTAGCGATCTATTTTTGCTCTTTTTTCGAATGTTTTTGCCGAATTTGAAAGAAGAAGCCTAGGCGTTGAAGTATAAAATTTTGATAATTTTTGGGGATGGTTGATGCCAAGTGCTTGAGCACTTGGAAGATCTTGGTTGGAGGTGAACATTGTCCCGTTATTTTTGTTCTTGCGAGTGAGGAACCGACTTGTGGTTACTCACTACCCTCTTCAAAGTCGCCTCGGTTGTATGACTTTCAATTTTGATCAATACAAATTTATTTAACGATAAAAAAAAAAAAAAGAAGAGTCATATGGGTAATCTAGACTTAGTGCATACATAGATCAGGTGGTGGAATTTATGAAGCTCTATTTATGCCAGTCCAAATCATATATAGTACATCTCTCATGGACCCATATATCGTGGGTGCAGGGCCATTGCTGCACTCTATAAATTTACATAACAGATAATTGTTCGTGTAGATTACCTATGCAAACAGAGGAAACTAACTGAATTCATAGTAATATCCTCGTACGTCTAATTAATATTTTATCTGGTAAAACTGTGCATCTCGATTTTGATCGTTAACGAGACAGGGCGGCCATGGCTGGCGGGGTTATGATCAAAAGTGACGGCAAGCGATACGCCGGGAAAATCACGTGGTTCGTGCTGCTTTCTTGCATGGTTGCAGCTTCTGGTGGTATCATTTTCGGCTATGATGTTGGAGTTTCAGGTTCTTTTTTTTTTGGCAAATATGCTTGAAAGTGATGATTTTGTTAGCTAATTAACCTATTTAATTCTTCCTTTTTTTTTTCAAAAAAAATTATTATACATTATGATCAAGGTGGGGTGTCCTCAATGGACCCTTTCTTGAAGAAATTCTTCTTAGGTGTCTACAAGAAGATGAAAAGAGACACAAAGATAAGCAACTACTGCAAGTTCGACAGCCAGCTTCTGACGTCCTTCACGTCCTCGCTCTACATAGCCGGCCTCATCTCGTCTTTTTTTGCAGCCATCGTGACTCGGGATTATGGTCGGAGGCCGTCGATCGTCATAGGCGGACTCTCCTACATGTCGGGAGCGGCTCTAGGTGGCGTGTCGGCTAACATGTACATGTTGATACTCGGACGTGTGTTGCTTGGGATCGGCCTCGGTTTTACCAATCAGGTAAAAATTCACACGAGGAAAATTTTTCGGTCTATATGCGTGCCTTCATTGCTATTGCTTGCTCTAATTTTATTTTATTTTTATTTTTATTTTTTTCTCTTTTTTTGGTGAGATAGATTAGATGCTATGACTTGGGTATGATAGGTACTATGTGGTCCTTAGAGTACTTGTGACATTTTTCTACCTAATTTTATCACGTGGAGTGCTGAACACCAGAATGAATTGATAAGTGTAATGAATTGATAAGTGTATAATCTAGCTTATTTGATTAGTTTATAAGTTTTATGCATTTAAATAAACTTGGTTTGGGAGGACAAACTTTTTCGAACTTATCAAATAAGCTTCATTGGATAACTTTTCAAATAAACCAATTGAAATTTTCATTTCAGCTATCTTATAAGTTCGAAATTCACTTAAAAACTATAAACTATCTTACTCAGCTAGTTTACGCCAAACATAGCCTAACTAACTCGAGGCATTTTTTTTTTTTTTTTTAGTCGGTTCCATTGTATTTGTCGGAAATGGCCCCCTCCCAATATAGGGGAGCCTTCAACGTAGCGTTCCAAATCTGCGTGAGCATCGGCTACAACTCGGCTACGCTAATCAACTACGGTACGGTCCAAATAGCTGGCGGCTGGGGCTGGCGGATTTCCATCGCTATGGCCGGAGTTCCGGCTGCCATCCTTGCCTTCGGTGCCATTTTCCTCCCGGAGACCCCAAACAGTCTCGTCCAAAATGATCCAAACCACGATAAGGCACGTAAAGTACTCCGTAGAATACGAGGCACGAATGACGTTCAAGACGAGCTGGACGACCTGATCGAGGCCAGCCGAGCCTCAAAAGCAATCGAGCACCCGTTTCGAAACCTGATGCAGAGGAAGTACCGGCCGCAGTTGGTGATGTCGGTACTCATCCCGTTTTTCCAGCAGATAACCGGAATCAACATCATCGCCTTTTACGCTCCGATTTTATTCATAACGATCGGGTCGGGAGAGAATGCGTCTCTGCTGGCGGCAACCGTGACAGGTGTCGTGTCATCAACATTTACCATCATAACTGTAATTTTGGTGGATAAGGTCGGCCGGAGGCCGCTGTTTCACTTTGGAGGGATTCAGATGTTGATTTCGCAGCTGCTGGTCGGGGGAATAATGGCAGCGAAGCTAGGGGATCACGGGGGGATGGAGAAAGGGTATGCGATGGCGGTGCTAATACTGATATGCGTGTTTATGTCGGGTTTCGGGCTGTCGTGGGGCCCGTTGGGGTGGGTGGTGACGAGCGAGATATTCCCGTTAGAGATAAGGTCGGCTGCGCAGAGCATAGTGGTGGCGGTGAACCTGTCGATGACGTTTCTGATAGCGCAGGTGTTTCTGTCGATGCTCTGCCACCTGAAATCGGCGATTTTCTTCTTTTTTGCATCTTGGGTGCTGGTGATGGCGGTGTTTGTGTATTTTTTGCTGCCGGAGACGAAGGGGTTACCGATAGAGAGGATGGAGGTGGTGTGGAGGGAGCACTTTTTCTGGCGGAGGTTTGTGGCGGACGGCGGACGTGGGCTCGAGGAGGGAAAGGTTGTTGGGGAGGCTTGATTTCGTGTGTGTGTGTGTGTGTGTTTTTTTTTTTTTTTTTAACCTCTCTCTCTCTCTCTCTCTCTCTCTCTTTATGTATTTTTAGCAATAAAAAATGCACTAAACTGATCTTCTCGCGTACTTTGGTTGCTGGAGGCAGAGAGTAGACATGGCCAAATCCGATTTCGGCCCAGTTCTAGGTCCGAACTGTCGGGTCTGGGCCAAGGATTGACCGACCGCGAACTGACTCGAACATATGCACGGGCCGATTACGTGAACCGTTGGTTCTGAGTTGACCCGACTCATTAGAAAAATAAAAAATAATGAAATAATTACTAAAGAGAAAATAAAAATAAAAAGGGTTGAATTGTCGGATCGGTTCCGGTTCATAACCGTCATGTTGGTTCCGATTCTGGTTCGGAACCGGTCCGATAGTTCTAAAAGTGCATATATAAGGCCCGGAACCGGCTCATACAAACCACGGGCCCTGTCCAAGGCACGTTGACCACGAGCCGGTTCCTGGCTAGTTCAGGTCGACTCAGCGGGCCGGTATGGCCTGTGGCCATGTCTAACAGAGAGTGATTATGATTTATGAACTAATGAAAAGCCATTTTTGTCGATTAAGTATTGAGATTGTGCACGAAGGCCATTCAAGTATGGCACGTTGAAGTAGGAATGTAAAGAGTCAGATGCTAGTTCTTGTAAATTAAAAATTGGTGTGCTGTTGTACCAAAATAAATAAATAAATAAATAAATAAAATTGGCGTGCTGATGTGGGCGCGAGTAATATTTTCACTTTTATTTTTGACACATTGGCTAACAATTTTTTTCAACACCTTTATAACAATTATTTTTTTCTCTATATCCATACACAACTCTATGTTCGGATACGAAATATATACCATAACCGATAAATTGGATATAATGTTACACAAAATATATCATTTTAATTTAGTTTATAACTTATATGTAATTTTAGAGCTTATAACTTATAACTTATAGCTAAAAACCTAGCTTATATGATAAAAGTGTTTTGTAAAATTAACTGATAAGTTAGCTGAAATAAAAAATTCAACTAACTTTTGAAAAACTACCTAAAGAAACTTTGAGATAAGTTCAAACTTTTTAAAAATGCCCGTTCTACCAAACGAGACTTATTAAATATAGGGATCCTATAAATAAATCAAATAAAATATAAACTAGTTTATTTGTCTATCAAACATAACCTCTAATACGGGGTGTGTTCCATGCATCATTTTTTTATAAAGTAAAAGTGCGATCACACGTATAAGCTTAATAGAATGCAAAATAAGATTGCGGCCCAATACTCGGCCCATTTAATTTTGGGACTTTTTGGTTAACTTGAGCTTGTACGCGTATGGATCATGTATGTGTATTCTTCATTTCTGTTCACTTGCCCTAAATTAGATGAATATGATATGACTACCGCACTTTAAAATGATAATTATTGTAAGTAGAGTTATAAATCATATTAAGTTAGGTTATAAATCGTATTCAGTTACCCCCGTTTTATCTTTTCTAAATAGGCCGAGTTGGACTAGAATCGACAGGCCATGGCCCACGAATATGAGCCGAAAGCAGCAAGCCATTAGCCGGAATTGAAAGCAGTCGGGCCTATACCGATTCAAGAGTTTGTTAAACCCTTGTCTCACGGTCACACGCCGAGCATCTCCAATGAACCTAATGAATTGCAGTCTACATGGCAGTTAAATGTAAGACTTCCTCTTCTCCATGTACTGAATGGACTATATCACTCTCCAATGGTAAAATGTTAAGACACGTGTTTTTTTTCTTCTTCTGTTGTTCTAAAATTAAAGTGAAAAAAATGATTCATCATATCTAACAAAACCTCTACATGACCTCTACTTGTAGTAGGACTTCTGCGCGCATTTCATTTTTTCTCTTTTATGCCACGTCATTATGTGGGGAGTCTAAACATGACAAATTTTATTGAATTTATTCTATATTTCTATAATTAACAGTCCATTGAAGATGCTCTAATCGAGTTTCCTATAACTACTATAAACTAAAGGAGCAAAGTATATTGCATATGTTAACTTTCTTAGCGTTTTTCAATATTCGAAATTATCAGTTAGGAGAATAGTATAAAATTTTCCAACACGTTCTTAAATTGAATCAAGGGTCTCTACCCTCTAGGAAAATTTTAGCAAATATGCTGTTGCTTTTTATCTCCACCATTTTATAAAATATCCCTAATTAAAGACTGTGACCTTTGTTCTTTTTATTTCATTTTATTATTTTCTTATTTTAACATTCCAAATCCCTCTCTATATATCCCTCCTTATATATTAATTCAAAACGTGTTGAGCTTAGGTGACACATTCTCATGCTTCGGATGCTGACATGGCGAAAATCTATGCCTCGTGATGTTGTTTTTATATTATTTTTGCTCTGGAGTTAAGTTTGGTATTAGACATAAATAATTTTATACATATATTCTAGTTGTCAATTAATTAAGACAAGAGTTTAGTCCAGTGAGGCACAGATGCATGGTTTCAACTATATATGTTGTCAATTTCAAGATTAGACATTATTCGTGTAGATGATAACTGTCCATTAAGATGGCATCTTTGGTCAAGTCAAAGTTGAGTACAATAGGTCCAATTACAAATTATTCCTGCACATTGGCCCAATAAACAATGGCCCACTGGCCCGCAAAGAGTGAGTGGCCATATAGAGTGCAAATGGGCTATTACACCAAAATGGATTTATGCACACGCACATACATAAAATTGAAAAATGAAACATACTGCTTACACATTGTTGGATTTTAAAAAATGAAACATACTGCTTACCACCAATGAAGAATATCCGGCTATAGCTATTCGATATGATCCTAGATCGAATGATAAACGAAAACTTACAGTTGTTCGTAAGTTTTGCCTTCACAACTATGGTGTCCACACAATCCAAATCTCGGTGCGCGATCCAACACCAATGAATTATTTCGGTGAAGACGTTAGGAATCCTCAATCAAAAAGCAAGATAGTATTATGTGTTCCTACAGTGTATATCTTCTTCTCCCATCTAATGATAAGAAGACTACAATGAGATAATGATTTATTTATAATCAGGTCAAACCTAATTATATGGCCTTAGAAATCCTATAGCCCAATAGGTAATTGGACCTAGTCTAATTAATAATTTAATTAAGTACAAGTCCAGTTTGACTTAATTAACTATTTTCTATCAAATAGAAAATAATCTCATTATTCATAAATAAATATTTCAATCTAATTGAATATTCAACACTCCCGATTCACTCTTAGTCAGAAAACTGACTGTATATTTTGTAACCCTATAGGCCTTCATATATTTACATAAATATAATATATGATCCTTAAAAAACTCTTAGACTGCATCGAAGGACGAACTCAAAATATAAAGTACGTTTACATAGACAAAGCAAACAAACCTTTAGTGTAGAACTCAATAGTGATATGGTCTCTTCATTCACGAACCACTCGATTAAGCTTAGGACATGAACATATGTCTATCCAAATAGCTTAATCATTTTATTTAATCTTACTGGTTGATTTTAATTAGTTATATTTAAACATTAATTCAAATATAATCACTTGCATTGACCAATAACTTTATCAACCCAGCGAGAAATGAGTTTTATCTCGAAATTATATCCGAGGAATGAATTTTATCTTGACTCAACTATCAATTCTATGTATATCGTGATCAACCCAACCCAAGCCCGTATCTACCCCATAAGGAGCGTAAGCGTTAGGACTAGGTCTAAGTAAATCATACATGAATTGTATATTGACCTTAAGTTAAAAGACTATTACACCATTCCACACACCTATACTCTTATGGACATATAAACAAATGGCTTATCGGTAGGGCATACCAATACTCTCCAAAGTATCCATGTGTCCATCACGAATAATAACTATTCATAATAGTGAGATATACTATATTCTCCAAAAATATGATGCAGACCATATGTCAATCTATCAGATATCATTTAAATCACTTTCTTCATGATCATCGATTGAGACAATTTATGAGTTATACTTTACCAGTTAACATCTTACTCTGTTAATTGACAGTATTAACTCAAGAGAGCAATTAATTAACAAATTGCAGACAATCAAAAGAATTCAGTAATTAATGCGAAACCATGCATATCATCATCAAATATAATATGAACGTGATCAATTACATTTGTCCCAGATTAATTGTCTTTAGGATACATATACTAACAAACGTGTCATTCATAGAGTTAAAAGTATTATACAATTAAATGATATATACAAGGAACAATTTTGCTATGGAGCCATCGGATGGCTCGACTTATGGAACAATCGACACTTATTCACCAATATTATATTAACACGTGTCTCACAATAAATACAATTTAGACATGTGTCAATATATTAAGTGATGGATGACTC